AACTTCCGCTAGGAACATTTTGGCGACCACGAACTTGTGGTTATTTCCATATCGTGACAAACTTCCATAAATGTCTCATGACCAACAGCCTCGCCAGCTACCAAGAGACTTGGTTCAACTAGTTTCGGTCTAAACTCCTGCATTTAAAAAACTATTCCTTTGAACACATACAGCATTCTCAACCAGTAGTGCACAAATACTTCACGCTAATGTAGATGCATAAATAAAAATATTCTCTTTCGCATTACTGTGACCATGCCTTTTTATGTTATGTATAAAACTGAATTCGAGGCCATATACCAAAGCGGTTACACAAATATACACAACTTCTGAAATAGACACACGACATTTTTAAGTCAGGATTAAAACACCAAAATAATATGGGACTATTATATACAGGGCAATTTAACTTTATTTCTTCTTCATACCTTGAAGAGGAACTCAACAGATTTGGTACAGGTTAGTTCCGTGAAATAAGATGAATTTTTTATCAAGAATTCTTCAGTTTCCTGTTGGTGTCACTATTCTCATAACGTAACATTTAAATACTTTGTAAGATTTGAGGCTTTCACGGCGGTGACTATGAAGAAAGCAGTCTTCTGGGATTTGGCACCGTGTATAAGTGGTGTTAACCGACGTTTCGGAGGAACGTATCGCCTCCATCTTCAGGGTAGAAGAAAATATAAGAATTCTGCAAGCGAAGAGACAGTGAGAACCGGTAAAAGCAGACGGCTTTTACCGGTTCTCACGGTCTCTTCGCTTGCAGATTTCTTATATTTTTTCTTCTACCCTGAAGATGGAGGCGATACGTTCCTCCGAAACGTCGGTTAACACCACTTATACACGGTGCCAAATCCCAGAAGACTGCTTTCTTCATTTAAATACTTGATGCATACTATACAGCGAGCCATACAAAATTTCATAAAGTTTTTCAATAAAACTCAAAATTAGGAACCTCGTTTAACGTCTGAACGTGTAACGACAAATTTTCTTCAATAAGGGAATGCCATCTAATATCAAGTTTCACGGAAACCCGAGAAACAGCCCCGTGTAAAAAAAAATACTTAGGTGACAAGACACTGACAAACTATACTAATTATTTAAGATCTGAGGTTTTCACGGCGGTAACCATGAAGAAAGCAGTCTTCTGAGATGTGGTGCCGTGTATATATTATGTTAACCGACGTTTCGGAAGAACGTATCGCCTCAATCTTCAGGGTTAATTTGCCTATTTGCACCTGCTCACACCGGTTCTTCGCTTACGGATATTTTCTTCTTCTACCCTGAAGATGGAGGCGATACGTTCCTCCGAAACGTCGGTTAACACAATATCTACACGGCGCCACATCCCAGAAGACTGCTCTCTTTATACTAATTATATCACTTATCCTTCGAAACTAAGTTCATTCGTTTACTCAATCATTACAGGAACTATCACCAAACTGGAAATAAATTTAATTTCATATTTCCTGTTAGATTTTAACTTAATAACCAACCAAGAGACCGAAGAGTTTCTGCGAATTTACAGTTTTACGAACTTTATCATGAAATGTCTCATTAGTTAGTTACGGGTTCAGGTTTCTATGGATTCTGTTTCAAACTGGATCTCTAAAGCGTACACAGCAATTCACACAGGCTTCAAACCCATTAAGCAGTGATACATTAGACTTAACCCATCAAATGTCAGAATACAATAAATAGTATATAATAGTTCGCCAGAGATGCTTCAATCCCTCGATCGCCTTCAAGGGCACATACCGCTATTTACGTCAGTTACTAAGTTCACATCTGTGTGATTTCTTCAAGCACACTGACTGCAACTAAAATATAACGCAGTCACGTGCAAATATTAAAATCAGTAATGAAACAGAACTAATGATTAAACATAATAAACACATCAGACGATATGTACTCGTAACACTCGAATGTATATAAATTAATACAAGCCAATAGGTCGCGGGTTCAAGTCCCGATGAGGTCATTGGATTTTTTTTCAATTGACCTAATCCTTCCAGCCGCACTATGGCCCTGGGATCGACTCAGCCTTTAACAGAAATGAGTACCAGGAATTAATTAAATAATTTTCCTGGGGAGTAAAGAGCGGCCGGCGCGTAAGGCCGACAACCTTACCGCCATCTTTGAGCCGATTCTCTAGATAACGTGGGACCCTCAACGTCTCACAACCCTGTGGGCCTCCACGGTCTGTTACAGGGATTGCTTTACTTTTTTTTTATCTATATTATTATTAAACCATACAATTCGTTCACATTACCCGCGCAAACAAAAACGAGCACAGACTAATATCATGTATATGCTTATACACTCGATATGCATAATCCATGTACCTGGCTCTCAAAATTACGCAGTGCCATTCAAAAATAAAAATATTCACAAGTATTGTATTAGAGCTGCCTTTGGGATGGATAAACAAACTTGTTCCACAGACTTTTGTCACAAGTAAGGGACAAGTAACGGAGATGCAAGGGACGGATATGAAGAAACCACAACTTCCTTTCCGAAATCAGCTGCATGGAATTTGCACAGTGTGATAACACAGAAACTGACCAAGTCCTCGGCCGCGCCATAGCTCAAGCGGTTAGTCGCTGGCTTCCCACGGCGGCGGCCCGGGTTCGCTCCAGGGTCTGGTCAAGTGGGATTTGTGGTGGACAAAGTGGCGCTGGAGCAGGTTTTCTCCAAGTACTTCGGTTTTCCCTGCCAATCTTCATTCCACCAATTGCTCCACAATCACCCTCACCTATCATCTGGGGCTGGTACAATGGGCCAGAAGTGGCCACAGTACAAGGGACTTAGTCCCATCCCATTAGCAATAAAAAAAGTCTTAAGTCCTTTAATATACCCTTAAAATGAGTGTAACTTGAGGGACCTGCTCTGAATGTAACTGTGAAAATTCCTCAGAATTACTGGGTTTTTGAGCTGTCCTGCATACAGTGATTGACGTTAGCTCTTTCTAAGGGACCCAACATAGTAGGTGTCTCGCCCCTCACTGATCCAGGGATCGAGGTTAGCTCTAAGGGACCCAACAGAGTATGTCATCCCCCCTCACCTGAGGACGCAAACAGATCTAGTTTCCGAAACGATTTTTCTAGTTTCTAGAATACCACACGATAGAGAAAGTTCGAAAACCCACTTATTCTGAGTACTACACACCGTTAGAACACTTTAGAATCTACTCGTAAAAAGTTCCTGTTTAACAGTTAGTTAGTTAGTTATTGGAGAGGGTGGGTTTCCCCATGCACTGAGACCTGTATTGGTCCATTGTGCTTCCCTCTATGATTTCTACCAGTCTCTATATCCTACCGGTACTGGTGCTTACCATCAGTCCCGCCCAGCCAGCGAGACCGGCTCTACTAGCTGAGAGGTATCTATAATGCTTCCCCCATCCACCAGAGGTATTAGAGACTCCTGTTGGGCGGGAAAAGTCCGTAATTTGGCTCAGTGACCTCCTTTGGAGATATGAGGTTCTTTTACGTGCCGTAAAGCTACGACACGGGACCCACGGCTTAAAGTCTCTCCCGGAGGACTTGTTCCCCGAATATTTCCGCCCTTAAAAATTCGACGACCTCCGCCGGGTATTTGAACCCGCGTACTACGAGTCATGAGGTGGGAACGTTACCTCTTGACTACGGAGGCCGCTCCTGTATAACAGTTACTAATATTCATGGTCAGGCACCTATGGATGCTGAGAGAACTCTGAATGATAGTCGCGGACAAAACTATCCAGAAAACACACACATCACTGCACTGGATCCACATCCTGCTTCTACAGAGCGTGCGACTTAAGGAAAGTACCGATAGGACTAAGTTAACATAAAGCTTTAACACAAACGGAAAAAACGAACTCCATTTTGCAGTAAACATAATTTCCAACATTGTCCTCTTACTATATATAACAATTTATAACTCACGACTTCTTTCCTCAGCGCAGTATGTAGATTTCCATTATCTTTCCGTGCTAGGCTCCGAAAAGGAAATTTCCATTACCCTCTTCACAATAAATCGCCCAAGTATTTCCGCTTAAAGTACTAATATGTCACTTTTCAAACGTCATTAGCGAGAACAAATGTTCAGTTGTCAAACTACGTTCACATTTATTTTCGCACACAGTTGGTAATCAAACAAAAACGTTCCTTTGCGTCATGCCTTCTACACTGCTAGTTTAATGCTTACTGCCTATCTGATTCCGTCAAAGCAAATTGAAGAACAGTTGCACAACAGCCACCAAAAACTGACTATTAATGCGTGAAATCTGACTGAGGGCAGTCAGAGGTTTTGAAACTATAAACCTATATACTGAAGTAAATTTCTGAAAAAGATATCCAAATTTATGAGGTAATTCTGAACCCATTAAAACGCTGAACGAATCAATCGATCGATTTGACCAATTTTCGCCCTCTACAGTCCTACAATCTGACACTATAAGTTCTCAGATAACGACATAAGACCCCCTCTGTGGTCTAGAGGTCAGAGTTCTTGCCTACAGATCCAGAGGTCCCCGGTTCGATTCCCGGCCCTACCAGATTTTCTGAGGACTGGGCCTAGAACGGGATCCACTCAGCCTCCTGGGGATAGTTGAGGAGCTATTTCAAGAAAATAGCGGTTCCGGTCTAGAAAACCGAAATTAACGGCCGTGGGGATCTGTTGCGCTGAACACGTGACACCCTCTATCAGTTAAAGTTGACACTAACTTCGCCGACAAACGTCGGTCGCTCGGTCGGTATAGTTCGTTTGTGGACTAAAGCCACGGAGTCTTTTTAGATACTGACATAAGCCTACAATAAGCCACAGAATCAGAGCGCACCGATCGTTCTGTTGCTTTGACTACCCTGTGAACACTTCTCGTTACAGACCACGAAACATCGTAGCGGTCCTATACGATGATGTTCGTGTGCTGCACTGCCTCTGGCAGGAGTGCCATGCGTTATCCATCTGATCTTAAGGACTGACAAATGAAACCATCCACTATCGCTTGTCAGACTTACCGTATGTCGTCAGGCAAGAATCGCTCCCCGTTCGTCCAGGAAAGATTTATTATGCTGCAACCTAAAAACAAGATAAACGACACTGCTTAAAAACATACCAATCTCACGTAACGACAAATCATCAGTTACCACAAACTGGGAACAAAATACGGTAAAAAGGTAAAGCTATCCCTGTAACAGGCCGTGAAGGCCCATAGGGTTGTGAGACGTCGAGGCTCCCACATCTTCTAGACTAGTTTTTTTTTTTAAAGCCGGGCCCTGCTATCGATTACACCTGGCCCTCGTCTTATAAAAAAGAATTTATCGGGCCCCGGTCTCACAAAGGTTGAGAACCACTGTTCTAGATAATCGGCTCACAGACGGCGATGAATTTGTCATCCTTACTCTTCGGCCGCCCTTTACCCTCAGGAAGATTCCTCGTAGTCATTTCTGTTAGAGGTTAAGTCGACCCCAGAGCCATAGTGCGGCTTGAAGGATTAAGTCAACTGAAAAAAAAAAAAAAAAAGGAATCCAATGACCTCATCGGGAATCGATTCTGTGACCTTCCGGCTTGTAGCATGGTGACCCGAACAAAATACAGTACTGTACATAAATCGAAGTCGAGGTAGGACTGAGAGACTTGAATGAACTGAAATCCAGGGTAAGGAAACTTACAAAAACATCGGAAGGGAATAACAACCACATGCATACGAAGAAGTCAGCCCAACAGAGACAGAACCCACAGCATATGACAGATGGAGAAATACTGATATCGAGCATCAGCTGGGAGGAGGGGAATTCCCAGACGATGCAGGTTAAAACAATATATCAATTAAATGAAATTACGTACACACGAGTCGTCGTACTCTACACGAAGAAAATTCTCTCTTTTACCCTACACGGATTAGTTAGAAATTCTCTCCTCTCTGCGTCGCTCTGACGTTAAGAGATGTTGCAATGCCAGAACATTAAACTCCCGTTACACGGAGACAAATCTGATGTGCAAACAGACTGCAGTTAACTGAATCCAGGCATGCAGATGACATAATCCCCTACGCTACCAAGAAAATGTGATAACGCAACTCCAAATGTCAAGAATACAGTTACATACTGCGTGCAAAGAGGTTGTAGGAACGGTGAAGAGGGTAGTGGCCTACAGGAGCAGACGATTCTTTCTTTACGATATTATCGTGAACATTACGTCCCATGCCCTATCAATAATAATTTCTTAACTGTCTACTGATGACGGCAAAGCACGTGATTCACGCTCCATGAACCGAACTTAACTCTGATACCGAGTTCATAATGTTTACATATTGTCCGTGCTTAGGAAAGCATTGGAACCGGTTAATTTTGCAATAACTAAAATAATTTGTGCTTAGAACACTGTGCAATAACCATAATATCAATTTCTTATACAAGATGATTCTGAATTATTGTCGGTGTATCCGTGGCCTACAAAAGGAAACCCCAACAATAATTTAGAATCACCCTGTATGTTCCGTCTAAACAATTCATGTACAAATTGCATACACTTATAAAATTTTCACTCTACAACACATTTCGGCCATTAAGGCCATCATCAGGTAAGTTACATTACATTAACACTATACCTTTCTGATATTATTTCCCCTACACTGGCCAATGTTTACAAATGTTTTTTACAATTCTAGGCAGAAGGCTGTGACATTTTAGCATTAACGCCCGATATAATTCATATGCAAGCTTAAATATCCGTTTAAAATTAGGTTAAGAATTAATTTTAATTAAGTAAGAACAAAATAATAAAATGAATACGTGACTATTACTGTTATCAATTAAAATTTGTAAATCCTCCCCTTGTTGGTAGCTTTAATTGATATCGGCTTCCTGTCACTAACACGCGGTCCGCATTACATTACATCATGATATAACTTTGCATGCCAACACCTTTTCTTATCATTAAAGTCTTCACAAATGTTATTGCAGTCAGATCACCGTGTGCTTGTTTTGCATGCGTATACTTACTTATGGAGCTGAGCTCTTCTTGAGAAGCCAAATCTGCAGCTACTCAAGAATTTTCCAGCACTTTATTGAACCCGAAGGTTCATTAACGTGTTCACAAGAGCTCTCCACTGGTCCCTATCCTGAGCCAAACCAATCCAATCCATACCATCTGATTCTATCACTCTAAGGTCCATTTTAATATTGTTCACCCACATACGCATTGGTCTTCCCAGTTGTCTCTTTCCTTCTTCCTTTCCCACCAATATCCTATATGCATTCCTTTTCTCCCCCATTCATGCTACATTCCCTGCCCCCCCACTCTCCTTGACTTGATCATTCTAATTATATTTGGAGTACAAGTTACGAAGCTCCTCAGCGGCCTCCGTAGTCTAGAGGTAACGTTCCCACCTCATGACTCGTAGTACGCGGGTTCAAATACCCGGCGGAGGTCGTCGAATTTTTAAGGGCGGAAAAAATCAGGGAACAAGTCCTCCGGGAGGGACTTTAAGCCGTGGGTCCCGTGTCGTAGCTTTATGGCACGTAAAAGAACCTCACATCTCCAAAGGAGGTCACTGAGCCAAATTACGGATGTTTCCCGCCCAACAGCAGTCTCTAATACCTCCGGTAAATGGGAGAAGCATTATAGATACCTCTCAGCTAGTAGAGCCGGTCTCGCTGGCTGGGCGGGACTGATGGTAAGCACCAGTACCGGTAGGATATAGAGACTGGTAGAAATGATAGAGGGAAGCACAATGGACCAATACAGGTCTGTTTTCTCCAACATCCTATCACTTCATCTCTCTTCGGTCCAAATATTCTCATTATTTTAATTAAATTAATGTTAACCTAATGTTTAAAGTTGCATATGAGTTACATCCCACGTTAATACTATAAATGACATATAACCTTCCCCCCTCCAAAAAAAAACTGTAAACATTAGCCAATGTATGGGAATGTTAACAGAAAGGTAGGGTGTTAGTAAATATAACTTTATCTGATTATGACCTGAATGGCCGAAACATGTTGTAGAGTGAAAACTGTATAAATGTATGCAATCTGTACATGAACTGTAGAGAAGGAACATATAATAAACAGTTCACAAGCAATATGACGTTACATCACTAACCATATATGTTCTTATGGACGTAGCAGAACCGACTTACTTTTTTTAAGGTCTTATCAATATTTTATAAAGCAGCAACAAGTTTCGCCACATTCTAATTAAAATTCACACGATACATGAGATTCGGCAACAATGTATACTGTTATGCTTCGAACAGTGCCACGATGTCATATTGTTTCCTGCCATCCGTATGGTCCGCAAGTTATTCTGGTCGAACAGTGCATCATTATAACACGTACTCAACTAGGAAGACTGATTCCTTGAGTTTAATGACTCTGTTTCAACTGCAGAGATTATATAGGTCACCATCTGAATGAGATCAAAAGGTAATAGAGAATTTTGAGGTCTTACGTAACGACCTGCGTATAATATTTAAATGTCATTCCACTAACGACAAACAACATCCAAACAATTCAATCAGAAAGGCAGGTAGGTGGTCAGATTCGAACCACATACCTCCCCAATACAATTCTAGGGTGTAACCACTACACAAGTCTAGTCAGTCAATTAAAGGGTGCGATCATTTATCGATTTAAAAAAGGTAAAGCTATCCCTGTAATAGGCCGTGAAGGCCCATACGGTTGCGAGACTTCGAGGTTCCCACATTTTCTCTAGACAATCGGCTCAAAGATGGCAGAGAGGTCAGCCTTAGGCGCCGGCAGCCTTTTAACCCTCAGGAAGAATGCTGGAAGTCATTTCTGTTAGAAGTTGAGTCGACCCCAGGACCATAGAGCGGCTGGAAGGATTTGGCGAATTGAAAAATGCAATGACCTCATCTGGAATCGAAGCTTTCCAGCTTCTAGCATAGTGCCTCAACCAACTATGCTACCGCATGCCTCATTATTTAAAGATCATAGCACGATTTGTTCCAAACTCCTGTATGAAAGTTGGCTTTGTCAAACAACTGTAATAACATAAAATATAGTTAATTACTTCATTAGCGACAGGAACTGCGAAGAACGTAGAAAACACCACCACGTGTCCAACATTTCTTATCTCAACTGTGGAATTCAACGAGCGTTATCAAAACACGACGGTATCACTTGCGACACAGCAGCTGGGAACCGCCTACTGAGACAGGTGCAACTGCACGACCAAGTCCTTTTTTTATTGCTAGTGGGGTGAGACTAAGTCCCTTGTACTGCGACAACTTCTGGCCTATTGTACCAGCCCCAGATGATAGGTGAGGATGATTGTGGAGCAATTGGTGGAATGAAGATTGGCAGGGGAAATCGAAGTACTCGGAGAAAACCTGCCCCAGCGCCACTTTGTCCACCACAAATCCCACTTGACCAAACCCCGGGACCGAACCCGGGCCGCCGCGGTGGGAAGCCAGCGACTAACCGCTTGAGCTATGGCGGGCCACGACCAAGTACTTAGCCGCTGCAGTCCTAAATTCGAGCTGCATAAACTAGCACGGACCATCGAACCAATGAACTGGAAAACCAGTAAGTCCCGGAAAGTCTCCGAAAATAAAAATACGATGTTCATAACATGAAGAAAGTACGAATAAACTGAGTTTTTCTTACAAAAAACTCGTTCAAATGATGCAAAGTACAATGATTCCCTTGGGAGAACAAGGATAGAAAAGCCGACACCTTGCTGTAGTATGAAAATGGAAAATCTACTTTATGCTCTTATATCATAATACGTGTATCCACATAGAAAACACTTGAAAAGAAATAAACCCGTTCATGAATAACCAAGATGCAGGATCAGAATTCCTGAAGCACCTTCTTCCACGGTCGTTCTAGTCATATCTAAGTACCTTATTCGCGACGGCACTTAACGTTTGCATTCCAGAAAATCCCACGCCTTTCTGGAACCACCAGGTTCGTTACTGTGTTCACACGAGCCCGCCACTGGTCGTCGTCCTGAGCTAACCGGATTCAGTCAACAGCCCCCTATCCTATTTCTCTTTTAATATTATCCTCCAATCTACGTCTAGGTCTTCAGAGGTCTCTTTCAAGGTT